GGGGAGTGGCTTTGGTTGGATAGCTGAAGGGACGCGGTTTCAGCTTTGCAAACTAAGCGACAGTCTCTGTAGATTTAGAAAAAATAGTTTGCAACATTAGGTTGGGTTTAGAGGTTAAAATCTTTTAAAACTAGGTTACGTTTGCTTGGTTTTCAAATCTTTCCCACCTTAGTTTTCTTTTACATCAAAAATAACATGCTTTTATTGGAGCATTTTTTACACCATGGTAACACTTCTAACTAAATAACAGTTTTGGAGAGGTACGCATAAAACAAATACTCTAACTCTTCCTCTGTCTTCGGGCTCTTGGCGAGGTCTCTCATTGCAAATGTCTGGATGATGAATCCCAACTTTCCATTAGATAAAAGCACACCAAAAATATTTTAGCAAGACAGTAACCATATGAATGTCAACAGCAAGTAGACAAGAGTTGTTACTGTAAAGCTATCTGAGGTGATCTGTACAATTGAGACAGAACAGGGTGAGTGTGTACTCACCCTGAGTGTGTACATGTTTACTGAAGATGAACTGATATACTGTATGCCCTTGTGCAAATATATATAAATAAAACAAAATCAAGCAGCACAAGTAATCTGGGCCCTAATTAAAAGCCGCAGACATATTTGAAATGCTTCAAGTGAGGCAGACTCTCTCTCTCTCTGTCTGCATGCATGTGTTCAGATGTCATTAATTCTTAAGGCTGAAAGACTCTGTTCTGATCTCTCATGAAGATGAATGTCATGAAAGTAGCCTTACATATTTAATGATGCTACAATACGATCACAAGACCAAGCCACTTCACTAACATACTTTACATTTTACATGTTGCATCTAAACCATGCCCTGTGACGATAAATATTGTGACAGCAAAACAGCATACAGAAGCTAAGGCCTTTAAAAGCTTCTCTGCTATTACATAAGACTTTCTGCAGAGAGGGGGATTAATGCTGTATGAAAAACTGGACTTTTTAAAGAGGCCCTATTATGCTTTTTGGGGAGGGGGGTTTCGGAGCCTCCAAACTGGCGTGCTTACAGTAATTGCGCCGCATAAGCGCATAAAGGTGCAGCGCATTTGCGCTTCGAGGTGAGGCCTAATCCGCGAGGTGAGGCCCCACGTAGTCTGCGTGATCTGCGTGTAGGGAGGGGCGGGCCTGTAAACATGTCACAGTAGAGTCAAAAAATACAAATTTTAAAAGGAGTTTGATGAATAACATGGGGCAGACATGTGTGACACAATTTTGAGTAAACTTTGTATTTGTAATTTGTATTTGTCTGCTATAGATGCCCATGTAGTGCTGCGTACCTGGACTCACATTCAGGTTCAGGTCCGGACTCAAGTCCAGAGGTTCAGGTTCAGGTCCGGACTTATAAGTCCGGACCTGAACCCATGGCTTGTGTCAAGTTGTGTGAGTAACTAAAGTGAACTTATTGTGAGCTAATTATCAATTGAAAATAAACTCATAATCAACTAAAATTCAAACTCGTTAGGTTTATTGTGCTCCCTTCCAACTTGTGTCTACATTTCTCTACAAAGTACAAATGTAAAAAAAACACTTACAGTATACAGTATACACTGTAGTGACTGTACAGTCAGAGTGTACCGTCGTCTTATAGAACTTCGACCGTTTGAAAAACTTCGATTGACTCAACCACGTAATAGACAGCGGTACCGTTGCCCGTAAACTACTGTGGATCACGACGCATGCCCATACGCTTCGCAATCACTGAACATTTTTCAAAAGCCAAGCTTCAGCGCCAAATTTTGCGCTTGCAGCCCTTGGCCATGAACCTTCGAGCGTTTTTTTGATTCGTGAATGCGTATAAGGAGTAAAACAAGATTTGTTAGATTTTTGGAAGGTATCTAGCTCTGTAAACGCGAACTCTTTTTTCTCGCTTTTTGTAGCACAGCCCGAAGACTTATACCGCGTTAATGACTTCCGAGTGCTTCAGAGCGTTTGTATAAGCCGGTTGACCCGGAGCCGTTGTTTGCAGTTCGCTTGCGATCCCCGCTACACCACTATATCCACGGGCAAATCTGTGCTCTTGTTTGCTCCCGACCTAGGCGTATCAAAGAGAAAACCGCATAGTCCCCGCGAAAGATGAAGGATGGTGCTTCCGCATTGTTGTTTGCTATCCTGTTACCTGGGTGTTTGCTTGATTGCCAGGTTCCACCTTGATGCTAAGACGTTTGCTTTGCGAGACCCGCCCAGTTGTGCGCCGAGGACACATTAGCCGGAGGATTATGCTAGTAAAGGCGCTATCTACTTCCGGTATTCGGGCTTGAGAGGTGGAGACGACCGACGTCGACGAACATGCGTAGCCAGTCATTCGATGACTTATGACGATGACTTGGTAGGTGATGTCTAACAATCATGTTGTGAGATTGTCGGAGCTGGTTACGCGTGGACCGATGTCAACCCGCCCTTCGTGGTGTTGTGTGGAGGTTTAGTGTACGTATGTCTAGTCTGCTTCGCTTTACCTTCATTCCGAGTAATCGGAGGATCGCACACTTTTCACAAACACTTTTTGCACAAAGTTTCAGAGGCTTTTGCCTCGTCACCGGACACTACGATCCGAACACCGCCGATTCGCGAATCGAACAAATAAAAATACCAAGGGGACTTTACAATTTTTTTATTCGTTAGCTCGTCACATTTGTATGTAATACAGTTTAATTGGGTTAAAACACCAGAGTGACACTTTTGCCTTTTCCTTAAAAATATAACAAAAACGAATGAAAGCAACGTCACAGAATTTACATTAAACCAATGCAGTACTGCCTCTTTTTTCATTATACGCAGATGTATAGTTACCTGTCTTCATTTTTGTGTTGCGCAGCTGCAGTAACGCGATTCGCTGCCTGAGTGAGCGTGAGCGTGCGGCGTCGTGACACCATGGGGCTCGTCTCATACCAGTGGAATGTGGCCGTATACATCGTACGTCCCGCACAGGTGGCGCAAAGTCGCAAGAGCACACTTGGTCTGTCGCAGTTTTACTTTCGCTTACGCACACTGTTCCCTTCTGAAAAAAACTTTTGTCGTATGACAGTATTTCGCGGTTTGCAAGCCGCACACTCGCCCCGTGTTTATCACACGACGGCTTCTCTCCTTGATTCGAACGTGGCGTCCTGTTACAGTTATACGAGCAACAAGAACTTGTTCTTCGTTATCTGAACATGAGAAGCTATAGTCGTGCAGAATCAGAACTGTCAGGTGTCAAGAGAGTCGACAGCTAGCACTGTATCTACATCTTATCCGACATTCAATTGATTACATACTGTAAACATAGTTTTAACATACATACATGACATAACATGTTAGTGCATTACATCGTATACATCATACATGATCATATTACATCAGTGTACATCTCAACATCTTTTCTGTACCACAGTNACTTTTTGCCACTTAGTCTACAAATGACTTATGACAGCAACTACAGTGAACTACTACAAAGTTCAAACATTTATTTAATTTACCAAACTAAAGTAACCAAACAGTCCCTGAGCTGACTGAGCCTAATTCCTAAAACTTTGCTGAAAGGTAAAGTGTAGAGTAGTAGACTATACGCATTACACTGTTACACACCTACTATACAGTATACACTGTAGTGACTACTACTCGACCACGCTGTCCACTATGTCTAAGCCAATCACATCGCTAGCTTCCCTTGACGTCACACAGATCTCGCGAGCAGTTGCGATATTTTGCGAGACTTCGTGAGTTCAGTAATGGCCGCCATATCAGAAGCCGACACAATGTTTTTCGTCTTTTCTCAGCGCAAATTTCTCGATCTATGGAAGGTTTTAGATGGTTTAGAACAAAAAGGAGAATATACGTAAGTGCTAGTTTTTTTGCGAGTCCAAGTACCGGTTCCCAACGTTCCGGTTTTAACCAGACTTGAACCAAAACTTTTTACAAGTCCAGTACCGGTTCGGCGTACCGGTACGCAGCACTATGCCCATGAAATCTAAGTGATTTGTCGATTTGTTCCAGCATGCAGATGTGAAGCCCAATACTATATTATAATATACTATGTTATGAATATTGAGGAATATGTGAATATTTGTCTATATTCTAAATAAAACCTCTGGTTACATAAGCTGATTTATTACTGAATAAATTGCTCTCTGATTCAGGCTGCAGCCACACGAGGGCGATAACGCACCAAAATCGTTATCAAAAAAGTCTTCCGTCCAAACGCAATAGGCACCAGAAACGTGTCCGTCCACACGAGACAGCTCGAACCGCTGGAGATGCTGTAGTACATATGCCGGGCCTGTAAGAGGCGCTGAACTTCTGCCACAAAATACACCAAAAGCAGCGAAGAAGAGTTCTCGCGCATGCATGGTTGCCATGGTTGCCCTTCTGTTTATTCTCCGCACTGGATTTAGCAGCAGAGGTTGTTAGCAGCAGAGGTTGTTCGGCAAAAGGTAGGACCCAAATGCAGATTAAAAGGGAAGCGGGTTTCAAAACCAAAGCAAGCGACTGTGGCCGTGAGGGAGTGTGGTCGTCTTTCAACCAGAAGGTTGTGGGTTCAATCCCAGCCCATGCAGTCAACATGTCGATGTATCCTTGGGCAAGATACTTAACCCTGAGTTGCTCCCGATGGCATGGCCAACGGTGTGTGAATGTGTGTGAATGTTAGGTCCTAGAGTAAGGTACACTGCTCTGTATGAATGGGTGTGAATGGGTGAATGACATGTAGTATGTAAAGCGCTTTGAGGGCTCTTAAAGACTGGATAAAGCGTTATATAAGTACAGTCCATTTACCATTTACNCTGGGTCCATAGTTGGTCGGTTCATTCTGTTAAGGTTCGGCAAAAGGTAGGACCCAAATGCAGATTATGATGAACATAAATAACATGGCATGAAACACATAGGTAACACGAGGAAGATACAATACCAAAAACGATCGTGACCAACATGGAGGGAGACAGGAAAAGCAATGAACCGACAAGGCACACAGGGGAAGACAAGACTAAATACAGAGAAGGCTAATCAGAGGATGAGACACAGCTGGGCAAGCGAGGCAGAAACACAAGGGCAATAAGTGAATACAATGAGACAATCAGACACAGGAGGAAAAACACAGGAAGAAAAACAAGAGATAGGGAGAACCGAATGGCAAAACAAAACCCATTACCAGACAGACAAAACTAGAACCGTGACATAACACCAAGATCGTGACAGAACCCCCCCCTCAAGGGACGGATTCCAGACGTCCAAAGAAAACAAAGTCCAACACTTCGTAAAGGGTGGGTGGAGGGGGTCGGGAGGACGGGTCTGGGTCGACAGCCCAGNCCTGCCAATGAGCACTGTCCGCGCCTGTCTTTCACATTTGAAAGGGTTAGCCTGTATGTCTGCTGCAGGAGTTTATGGATTTATATTGGGATCGTTTTACATCTACACGTTAAATATAAATAATAATAATAAATATGAGCATCAACAAAGAACAGAAGACTTGAGATCTGGTGAGTCCTGCAACTGTAATGGAGTTAAACATATATTTAGATAATCCTTAGTTTGTGAATGTTTTATTTTGTATTTAAGGTTACGTTTCTTCTTCTAGTTTGCTGAGTTTCTT